CTGTGTCACTTGCGATGCCCAACTGTGTCATTGCAAGTGACACAGTTGGGCATCCCTGTTAAAACAGGGACTGTATTATGTTTCTAGTCCTGGAGTATTGTTCTTGAGGTGATGGTCCAGGAAACATGAGGGGCAAGGATTATTAGTGATATCTTTAATTGGACCAACTTAGTAGATGGGAAAGCTGTTGGACAAGCTTGCGAGCACCACGTGCTCTTCCTCAGGTCACCTCTCCTCACCAAAAATTCTTGCTTCTCATAGCTTTATGTTTTAATCAACCATAGATAAAACTATGTTAATTATTTGTAATTCAGTTATTTTAGACAGAAGAGTGCTAACACAAACCTGAAATTTGCTTCAAGTTAATTATTTTAAGGACAGCAACCCTTTCAGCCTTATGGAAACTTGAGAGGAAGTTACTGAGTTAAGGCCTTAACTAAGTTTTGGCTTGATGCTTATTGCATATTTAGCAGTGGTGTGACATGGGACAAGATACCAAAACATACATTGAAACCCATGACTTCTGTTCCTTTGTGATTTACGTGAACCAAATGCACTTTCACCAGCTTAAAAGACAAAATTTATTCTGACTGGCTTATCACAGTGACCCCTTTCAAAAAAAAAGTAGACTTAACTTGTCACTCAAAACTAGAATCATGTTCACGAGCTGAAGGTGTGGGAATAGGAACTATATGAATGCAAGGATGCAGCATGTGCTAATCCTAAACCACCCCTGTCAAATGCTTATCTAGCCTCCTGAAAACCTCCAATGAAGAGAATTCCACAACTTCTCTAGGCAGCTCATTTCATTGTCTGAAGAGCAGGACAGTTAGGAAGTTTCTCTGAGATTTATTCTTCTAACTGTTTTGCTGAACCCATTTCAGCAAAAGGTAGGTATAGATTGAACATCCGCAAAAACTACTTCACCGTTAGGGCGGCTAGGAGCTGGAACCAACTTCCAAGGGAAGTGGTGCTGGCCCCTACCCTGGGGGTCTTTAAGAAGAGGCTGGATGCCCACCTAGCTGGACTCGTTTGAGTCCCATTTCTCTTTTTGGGGTTTTTGTTGTTCTCCCGCCCTGGCGGGGGGTCGGGCTAGAAGATCTACTAGGTCCCTTCCGACCCTTAATCTATGAATCTATGAATCTATGAATTTGCTTGAGGAAGCAAACACTATCTAACATTAGTTTAGGTCAGGTGCAAGTGCACAAAGAAATGGCACCTAAACACTCAAACCCACAATCTTAGCACTGTTAGCAGCACATTCAAACCAACTGGGATAACTGGCCCATCAAGTATTGAGAAATTTGTGGAACAACAGGATGAAGTCCATGCTATGCTAATGCATTGCTCATATTTTGTAGAGAGAAGAATTTAAACTCCCGAGATTTCAACTCAAAACTTCTCATAAGCATTTTGTCTTTGAACAAAGCTATCTGAGAGAGCATGAGTATTTACAACAGATTTTTTTTACAAAAAAAAGTAGAATCCAGCATAATACCATGTCTTCTTTTACCTCTTTCCACCAACATATTTTTATTATTACCTTGTCAGTCTTAAAGATTTGCTGGATTGTAGGTCAGGTTCCCTGCTTCACTTCAAATTAACGTTCAGATGTCCCGCCATGAACTGCAAGAATCATGGGTAATCAGTGATAGGGTATGAAAACTGCATCAGAAAGCCAAAAAAAGGTTAGCTTACTGCCAGGCCTCACTGGAACAACATACTTCTCAATATATTACATTAAAATGAAAAGGTTGGTATCTTAATTGTATAGGTAAGGGAGACACTTTAATGTGAAGGCTAAATGTGAAATTGTATCTATGAAGCTTGTAGGTCAGCCCTACACAGCTCTTAACAAAAAAGTATTAACATGTCAAAATTTTGTATGGCCATTGCTAACAGCCTGGAAGTTCATGAAACATACCTCACAGTTTGTCCTCATAAGGCGCGCACACACTTTTAAAATATTTGTTACAGTAACTTCCAGCTTATCAACATCCAAAGTTTTTAAGTTTTACAAAATTAAAAGTTTTAAATTGATCTTGCAGTATTATAGCCCAATAGCCCACCTTCCAAATTTGAATTATACTCTGACTTAAGTCAAAGTCCTCAAAGAAGCATTATGGCAGAGACTGTCTGGGAGAACAGAGAGGTGATGTCATGTCTTCAGAGGAAAAAAGAACCAAAGCAAACAAAAGGAAAGAGTGGCAACCAGGGCCAGAGATCTGCAGCCACCTAACAGAACAGGGAACTCCATGTCCAAAAGAAAACGTAAAACAGAAGAAGAATGCCTTCCTACATCTTGTTCCTGCTCTATTACCAGATTACCCGAAAAGAATGAAAGTGACTCAGGAGGAGGGGCCCTGCTCATGGGCTCCTTCCCCAAGAAAGTCAATTCACAATTCCCCTTACATTTGCAGAGAGTTCAGTGAAACTATGCACATCTGTACGCTGCTAATGTAACAGGAAGATGTGGTAATTCCTGCTATAGGGATAAAGGGAAGGTGCTAGGTTTTGCTGGGGAGCCATGACTCAGGTCATTTGTTCAATCTACTATCTGAAACTGAACCCATCAGCCAGTCATGTAGCTCTGGCCTCCCTGACAGGACTCGTTAGAAGCCAAGAGAGGCTGTGAATCCATCAGGCAGCCAAAGCCGATTTCTCTATGGCAAGGGGAGGGAAGAAAAAAAAAAAAAGGGAGGGGCTGGCCCAAAGCAGCATCTATTCACACAGGGAAAGCCTCAGCTTTGCAGGCTCCAAAGTAACTAACCCTGATGCTGCTCTGAAAATACACATTCATGATATCTGAATATCAATCTAAACTTAATTTAGACCATGTCCAAGTTACACCCTGCCAAACCACCACAGTACACACATATCTGCCAAAACCACATAGCTCCATTTCTTCAACTATGCCAGCAGGGTTCAAAATACATCCGAGGAGGGCAGGAGCTGCTGAAGGTGGCTGTGGCAGTCAGCAGAAAGTCTGGGCACCTCTATCCAAAACTTGTACCAGCTTTCAGGCAGCAACAGAAGCCTTCTTTCAGAAGGGGGCGACATTAACATGCCAGCAGAAAGAAGGGCTCTGCTGCCACACGGAACCTGAGTGGGGGCACGCTTGAGTTTTCCAGAACTTGAGTTCAACCAGCAAAACAAGGCTACGTGGACCAGGCCCTTTTAAAAAAAGAGATGGAAAAAACCTAAAAAACCCCCTGTTAGGTGTGTTAATCTTGATGTCCAAAATGGGAAAAAAAGCAGCAAGCTGATACGAAAGTCGCCCTTAATCTAAATGGTGGTGTCCATCACCTTGCAACGTGCAGCTGGCTCGTTTCTACAGGAAACATGAGGGCTAGCACTGCTGTCTGATTTCAGCTGCACACCCACCCAAGAGCACCAGCTCATCATGTGACTTCATCTCATCGCATGAGATCGTCTCATCTTGTGACCTCATAGCATGACTTCATCTCACTGCATAGCTCATCACCCATCTCTGGCCTGCCACAGGTACCGGAGAAGGATACCTCACTGCACCTCTCCACCCTGGTCTGCCTACTGCCTCTAACTGCCATGAGCAACGAGCCCACGACACGCTGACGTTTACCTGACCCACGCTAACGTCACAGTGCTCTCCCTTACTTCACTCCCGGGGTTATACCCCTGGGAGTCGCTCCAGGCCTGGCCGGTTTGCGCAGGTATGGAGGAGCCGGTCCTCAGTCCCGCGCCCCGGCTCCCCGCCGCTTACCCTGGGCCCCGCTGGCTCCGGCCCGGTCCCGTCCGGCGCCCGGACGTGGCAGCTGAAAGAAAGGGCTGGGACAGAGACGGCGGCGCCTGCCGGAGACACTGCGCATGCGCTTGCGCATGCGTCCTTCCTTCGTATGATCCAGCCGGAGCCCATAAGACTTCTCTGCGCATGCGTATATTCATAGGGCGCGCCCTCCCTGCCCCTTCAACGCAGGCAGGTGCGCCCCAGACCACCCCGCGCCTGCGCCTGCGCACGCAAAGAGCGTGCTCTGCTGGGTGTTGCTCCCTTCGGGTGGAAGGGCCTGTGTGGCGGGCGCATGCGTAGTGAAGCGGATGAGGTCTCAGTCTCTTCCAGGGCACGAGCTTTAATCCCCCTGCCACCACCCCTGCATGGGGCTGGGCAGGGTGGTTCCACCCTGCTGGGCAGAGGGGGGAAACAGGTTTCCCACCCAGCAAGTAAAAGTGACCTGCTTCTCTAGCGGTGAGAGGCCTCTGTAACAGGCAGCCCCCTGCTCTCAAGAGCTGTCAACTGGATGTGGGAAGCCTATCCAAGGTGACCAGAGCACCATGCAGGGCTGGATCTCAAGGCACAGCACCCTGGGGTTCCCTTGAGATCCTTTCAAGGGTGCCCCAGAGCACCATGCCATGTAAGTGCCGCAGTATTTTCAACTCTCATGATTTTTGGCATTGCTCTTAAAGTCTACCCCTCGGGATTGTGAAAAACTTAGCTCTTTCTTTTATATTTCATAAGAGTTGGCAACACTAAAAAAAGGTGGCAACAGCAGGCAACGCTAAAAAAAGACAACACCAAGAGACGCCCAGAGATCTCAAATAGGAACCCCTTGCTGTGGCTTTTCTGTGTTCTTTGCTGCAGAGCTGCTCTATTATGTTTTGGTAGGCAAAAAAAAAGAATGAAAAGGAAAAGAATGAAGAGTTGGCATTTTTCAGGGGCACCCCAGTCTATCCAGGAGTGCCCCCAGACTGAAAAGTTTGAGACCCTCCAATGTAAGGGCTTAGATGATACTTCTGTAATCAAGGTAGTAGCCCATCTCGTTGCCAACTTCATGCACTAGGAAGAAAGATGCAACAATTTTATGCAAAGGTACTTTGTTCTGATGTCTTATTCTCCAGCCACTGCCTTTACTATTTTTTTCCACCAACTCATCAAAATGGCTCTGAACTTGGACCTCTCCCTGGGTGAGGCCCAGCTGCCTGGGAAAAATCTCCTGATAGTTTCACAGCCAAATTATTCCTAGCCCAAGAGGCAAAGGCTTCAGGGCACAGCTATAAGGGGACTTAACAAATGGACTCCTATTGCCAGAAAATCCCTGGGAAACTTCTGGTCACGATCTCTAATGCCTTTCACCATTAATAATAGGTGGTATTACATGTGACTACAACTTAAGGTGCAATTCAGACCACAATGTTAATTTAAAACATAAAATAATACCAGGCATAACACAATTTATTTCTATCTGGGGTCTTGTGGTATTCCATGCTAATATAGGAGTCTTTTACACTTAGCAACTTGAGTTGTGGTCAGCCAGGGTTGAAATTTCTACGTGAAACATAGAAAAAGGAGCTTTAAGTATTTTGTTGTCTATTTCAGTTTTCAGCAGGGCAGTTGGAAAGCCCTAGTAGAAATAAGTGGACACCGGGACTGAAAGCAATTCGGATTGAAATGAGACAGGAGTTTAAAAAAAGGCTGAATTGATATGTATTTTCAATTCTACGTATTATATAACAAGAAACAGATCACAAAAAAATGCATAATTTGGAAGACCTGTTTTAAAGTGGCTAACAATTACAAGCCTGCTCGCTCAGTCTCACTCTTCGCCTCTCATTTTTGCCACCTTTGGACAGGTAATTCAGTCCTTCCCCCACACAAGCATGTACCAAGGCAGCATTTCCCAGTAACCAAAAGGAAACTTCACAATCTTTAATATCCACATTGCAGGAAATGTCAAAGTTCAGCTATATTATTGTGATCACCCTGTTCCACGTGTAGATAAAAATTGAACTATCGCTCTTAAACATGCCACAATTAAAAAAAGAAAAATCATTAAGTGCAGGAAACATTACCTCCCCCATTTACTTTCAAAGGGTGTTGAAAATAGTTTTTGTGCTGGTGTGAAATAAGTCAATGTTTTATTCAACACCTGAGATATCTACAAGATGTTCAAGTGTACATTCTACCAATTAACAGAATGAATCACAATATTTTTGGGGGGGTAGGTGTTATTTATTTGGAGTCTTTAAAGAGAAAAATATTTACATGTTAAACATCTAAAGTGAAAAACACTGCAAAAAGTTAGGATGGCATTCGCAGAATAACTGCAAAATCAAAACAAAATGGAGAAATATCATTACCATCCTCATCAGGACCGTCACTGTTGTTTCTGGGTATACTTTATGTGCCCACCTGGTCTCAAGGAGGGGCTCTCGTGCTGCCTTGGAGCATGTGTCTGGGATTAGCCTCTGCGTTTGTCCCAGTGGTCTCAGAGAATGCCCACGATCTCCCCGAGGGAAACCCAGAAACTCTCCTGTGGCTCCAACTCCTCTACACCCCATCCATGCGCCAGCCTCTAGGATGGCCACTTGATGGTCGGATGGCTTGCCCTCTGGTGTCAACTCCCATTCTCTTCTTGTTGGCTGGGCTACAGATGACCTCTCCCAGCCCTACATCTCTTTGGGATGTTAAGCTGTTCCTGCTCTTCTGCCTCGTCTTTCGTTATAACTCGGCCGACTGCTGTGCTATCCCAGCCGCTCCTAACCCCAGAACGCTGCCTGTAGCTCTCACCCTCGTCTTGGGGTCCCTCTGGGCGATCCCTGAAAGTAAAAGAAAAAGAAGAAATTAACAGAAAGGACAAGGGGGTAGGGCTTTGACCCATTTCCACTCACTGACCCGGCGTCTGTGGCTCCTGCAGTCTCTTGACACCATTCTCACTCCATCTCTTCGCTGTGGACCCCTCCAATGGGTCTGTCCCCAGATCCATTGCTGGTCACCAGCATTGCCCGTGCCCGGTGCGGGAAGCACTGTTGCTGTGGTCTTCTTGCTGCCGGCTTTTATTTCGGCTGGGCAGCGTTCTGGGATGATGTCGTCCTCCCGTGCTGCTTTTAACTGGAAATAAGTGTGGCTTACAAACTGCACAGGTGCTCCGTGCTGGTGCGGCTTGTCCGTCTCTTCCTGGCCTGAAATAGGTAGATATTATGAACCTCATCACTTGGAAATACAGGCACAGAAAAATACGTCTTATCCAAATTCAGCTGAGAGTAAATGAGTAACAGTACAAGGTGAAAAATTGTTTTTCCTAGGCAGTTTTGGGAACCATTCCACACCTTCCTGCAGAGAAACTGATGCACCATTTTGTGTCTCCACTCTTGTATCTCTGACTTGTCTGATGAAGTAAGCTGTTGCTTATGAAACATTATGCCTCTCTGACTTAGTCTATAAGGGGTTACTGTAACAGGGTAACTATCGGGCCCGGTCACCATGCTGGCTCACCTCCATATCTGGTCAGTCTGCCCGCATATACTCTCCTGCCATGCCTTGATGTAAACAATAAGTTGTTTATTTTTAAAGCAGAAGGCTGCCCAGTTTAAAGCCTGATGCCAAGGGCATATTACACAGCTCCAAACCGTCTCTTATACTATGTCCCATGCCTTGCAGATGGCATCCAAATTTTCCATTACTCCCCAGGCCCCTTTCTGGGCCACTCTGGCCTCTGGCCTAACTAGGCCTCCGGCATCCTTGGACATGCCTGGGCCTTAACTCACACCTCTCAGTGGGGCCTCTACTCCAGCTATACCAGTTAGCTACTATGCAGCCCTTCACACGGTCTTCAGGGCCTGCTCTACACAGCCACTGAGTCCCTGCAACTCTGCCCCCTCACTGGGGCCTCTGGATCTCAGATGTCTGACGAATTACCTGGGCCCCACTAACTCAGCCTAGGGCTGTTCAGGCCTCAGGCATCTGTCGACATACCTGGACCCTTCTGGGCATTATGCTGCTTTGGCTCTGAGGCATCTGTCAACTACTTGGACCCCACCTTAGGCCCCATTCAGTGGGCATGGACCCCTGTGCTTTTCTATCTGGGTGTGCTCCCCTAGCCTTTCCCCTCCAGGGGTAACCCACAAGACAGCAGGGACTGAGGCTTTCAGGTGCCCCATACTCACCCTTCACTAGGGAGGCAACTGGGCAATGTTCTGCCTCCATCTGCTTGCAGCGACTGATGCTGGCTTTACTGCTCCAGCCTGCTTTTATTCCGATCAGCTGAGCCCTCTTCCCCAATCAGGCAGTCTCCTGTTGACTCCTGACTGGGGAGTGCAGCCACCTGCAGCTGCCTCTGCTGCCTACTGAGGCCCTTTGAGTGGCAGGCAGCACAGGGGCCCTGCTGCAAGCAGGCACCCAAAGGTGCTCTGCCACAGACACTCTGCCCTGCCTTCTATCTGACTTTAGATTAACACAGCTAACTACCTCTCTTGCCCTACTGTTGTTTGGAAGGCTCCAAATGCTAGGAATTTGCCCTGCCAGAAAAATCATATATTTCTGGAATCCAAAGAGGTTTTCAAGCCATTAGCCTCTTTTCCATTTTTATTCAACTTTAATATCAGAGCTAGCAATTACCATATGTGTAAATCCAGCTGGTCCTCTACAAAACATTTGGTAGGATATGGGATTAATTTAAACGTGCTCAGTGGCCGCGTGTACATGAGATGCTGACTGTGCAGTTATTACTGTGGAGTCATTTAAATGTTCATTTAAATGACTATGCAGTAACCAGAGTTAGTGTGCAGTAGTGCTGTGGAACATCTTTTCTCATGAAGCTGACTGCGCAGTAGCCCGAGACTACTGTGCAGTAGCGTCTTTCTGCTGTGCAGCGCTACTGCATAGTAGTCATGGCCTACTGTGCAGTCAGTGTCTCATGTAGATGTGGCCAACGTGGATGTTACCTGCAAGGGTTCAATTATTGTTTGAGGCAGCTGGAAAGTCTTTACATTGCACATTGACTTTATAAAAATAAAATTGAAAAAATGGAGGAAAATATGCACATTTCTTAGGGACAAACTTCTGTTTTCCCTTTACCATAAGCAATCATATTTCCCTTT